CCCGGATGATTTCTGAGAATCGAAGAGCGCCGAAATTGACAAATAACAGTGGCATATATTCCAACATCTGGTCTCACGTTTCTGCCAGTTGTTGTGTGCTGAATGACACGTAATGTGGTAGAGCATGTCGTTATTAAAAATAGAATTAATGCAGTGGTGAAATGAATTCCTTGATTTGGTTTCACAGGTTTCTTGGAACCGCGATTTCGCTCAGAATAATCGATCCACTTTTATGTAGGATCCTCTGGTTTGAGCGGAATCAGATATTTGATACAGTGAAAACTAGAAGCGTTTGCTTGAGCTGTGTTGACACACCAACGAAAACAAATGCTACTGGTAAAGTAAAATAAAGATTTCAGATAAAACCAAATGCAATATATCAAAGGGCTATTTATCGTGTCCCAAAAAGTGCCGCAAACGCTCGTCTAAAACGCTATCCTGACGCCGTAAGCCAAAATTCCTTTTTTGGACGTTATCCAAGATGGTGCATATCTAATAAGCGAATCAGAAGTTAAGTCTTGCAGTGCAAACTCACATATAAGTGCCGGTGTACCGGGACCAATGTTCATTGTGAAATTGTGTGTTTCGATATGTCTGGTCGATTATCATCGTACTAGGGCAAACGAGAATCACAATTGTTTACTTTCATTGAGTGACAGGGTTCGGATTTTGTCCTCCTGTTGGGCAGGCAAACAATCTGGTTGATACACAGCAATCTGTTCGAGATAACAAAGAAACTGGTACAACACATAAAACAGCTCGTCAGGGATGTTTGAGCGGAGGTTACCTTAGGTAAATAAAAACAATGTTTGCGCCGAAATTAGATGCCAAGCATTAATAAGCTTGCACATATTTGTTCAAAAACATAAACAAGTCTATCCAATTCACAAAAGGTGGGTGTCAGCTATGCTAAATTCCCAAATTCTTGTCAGTATATTATTTCTTTGATCGATCGATTTAAAAAAATGCTGGTTGTGTGAATAGTGGTTGGTTCGGTAATTGATATAAGAATACAGTTGATGATTAGAGGGAATAGGAATCCCTTAAAGAAAGACTACAATTAATGGTATTGTATATGAGCGGAGAATGTTCCTTTCAGAAAACAGCATTTCAGACCTCTCTGGCATGATCAAACAAAAAAGGGTTCTGCTAATCGACCTACTTAAATTCTAGTTAGTAACCAAACAGTTTATTGCATCAATCAGGTCAAAATAACTACGTCGACATTCAGAAAATATTGAACTAAAAGCAGTACGTGAATGAGAACATACCGTGAACCGTAACACGATGCTCCGGATACCAGATTCTCGGTGCAAACTTTGTAGCTAGGATTGTTATCAGATTCTAAATGCACACTGTTGTGGTCTTGTTAGTTATTCCCTTGCAGGTTCATGCCATCCGTCATGCAGAGTGGTCTTCACGTTTATTTCACAAATTATATGAATCTTGCAAACTCTCAATAATAGATAATTTCGGTCCAATGTTTAGGACATGAATACGCACCTAGAGAATATTTACATGCCACTGAGTGAAAAGTTCTTTTAAGTCATTTTGGATTCAACTGAAATTAAAACGATTTTGCTGGAAAAAATTGCGATTCTCGAATGAATTCGGTGTCGCGCTCATAGTTTTTCGCTCATTGAAGAATACTTGATCTAGTCTCGCTGAAATCCAAGTACGAGAAACACCAATTGGAGGTGACCGAATTTCATGGGTGACTGTGGTTCATCTCCACATACTGGTTGAGAGCTACGGTACCAAATTTATCCATCCATGTATCCTCCCACTAATTTGTCGTTTATCCAACAGTCAATTACGTCAATTGCAAACGAGTCTGTTCGTTTTTATTGAACTCATACTCTCCTTGCTATCCACATTTCTCGAGTATCAAGATTTCTATCCACACGTCAACCAAAATTTCATTTTCTCAAAGGAGATACTTTGTATGTGGACTGTGCGTTGATGTGTATAAACAAACGGAACGTGCTAGATTTAGTACCCGGTTCACGATTGACTCAGTCAACAATCCCAATGGAACGTAAAGTGACTCAGATGTGATAATATTCCCCATCCGATGATCATAAGAACGCAGGTTGTAAAACAAGCCTGGGTTGGATTTCGATAAAGGTGCTATTAATCTAGTAAAACACTTGATTGGAAAGTAGAATTCCAGCAGTAAAAGTAATCCATTGAGTATACCACTCCTAGACGCCCCATGCTCAGATTTCTCGATTCGTGAATGAGAATGCGTGAATAAGAGAACACGAACCGGACAGTACACATTATCTAATACATTATGAATACAGTAGAAGAAAAACCTGATATACTGCTTAACCAGCAAATGTTTGAAGTACCGTTCTACTGACTTTACTAAAGCTGGACTCGGAAGAATGCAAATGTTTTTCGATTGAATGACTATCCAGAGTAGTTTGATCGAAATTGCATGATGATAATCTCACTCAAGGTACCGTGTGAAACTGTGAACAAGCGGTGTGATTGTCTCCACCCCTTTTCAGGGGAACTACAGTTATGAAAATACTGAGTAGATGAAATCAATAATCTATCAGGTGAACGTACATCGAGGCTGAACTCCTCGTTCTTTTCACATTCAAGCCACTTCTCTTCAGGAAAATGAAAGACTGAGTACACTTGGAGCCATGTGGTTTTCATGTAAAAATTCACCAGTTCCTGTGGAGCAAGTGTTGTAGGTGAAAAGTTGAGGAGTTCGTCCAATCGCGTCTCCCTAGCTAGTTCAATCAGTGACAAATAGGGATCAGAGCTAGAGCAGCGTCTGTAACACAGTTCATGTGCGTGAGTTTTCTAGTCTCCCAATAGAGTTATGCGAAGTGTTTAACTCCCGAATCCGGTTAAAAGCCAAGGTCATTGCCATCTTTTATTGCCTACAACTGACTGATTTGTGTTCATACATGCCTGTGGTTAATTTGATTCATCGATCGATCGCTTGATCGATTGACTGACTGTTTGAATTCGGGCTTGACGGCATTCAGATCTACTGCGACGTATGAGCAGGACTCTGCCTGCGTGCCTGCCTTCCTACACGCTGATCGTTCCTACTTGTTCCCCGGTTTGTGTGCCGGCTACATATTTCCTTTTTACAATAAAATTACTGCTTCATTCGTTGTGTGTTCATTTGCCTACTAAATTTGGGATACAACACCATCCATCTTCAGAATTCTGTTTCTCTAATGAGCTTTAAAGGAGTTTGCAAATGCGCTGGTCCTACTATTGTAATCTACCTTTCATCTGTTGAAGTAGCCTCACGCACTCACTCACTCAATGTTGACCCACTACTTCCATCTAACTTCTCCGCACACGAATGACACTTATATCAATTATAGCAATTATAACAAAACCTCGGTTCAAGCTCTTCATTCTTCCTGCATTGGTTTCTTTCCCCGTAATTGTTTTTCGTATTCTAACCAGTCCATGAAGCATTAAAACAAGGTTGCTTGCAGATTTGTTTTCATGGTCCAAATGGATTCACCTTTAAACAGAGTTTCAGCTTGAAAAGTTGAATTCAATTTTCTACGATCGTCTCATTGTGATAGGATAGCAAATTACGTCAGAAGATATTGAAGTAGGAGGAAAACATTAAATTATGATTGGTTGATGGAATTGGTTGCGTAACAAGGTAGTTGTTTTGCCACTGACTCTATAATATGTCATTTGATTTTGCTGCAACAACAACCTTGGAGAAAAGATGATCTACCCTCCTTTTCTGAGGGATGTATTTGAATATCTAGTCACATTATTTTGGACCATGTAATTTACCGTTAATGATCTTTTGACATTTACCGGGTATCGAATGTTGGGTGAATTTGCTACAATGGACCTGCAGTTATTTTTTTAATGCTTGTTGGTAACCAGGCTAGATGTCGCTATTCCATTCACTTAGTCTCCAGCCAGAAATTGTAGGCGATTCTAAAATAAACAGGTAAAAGGAAAGAAATAACACTGGTAGTCGATCAACCAGCATCTGCTCAATAAGTAGATAAGCCGAGTGGCGGATTTTTAGCTCAGTTACATAGACTGAGTATCATTTACTATCACATTGATTTCCGAATGGTTCATCGGCGTGATCATTTAAAAATGTACATTGATGAAACATCGCTAGGAACACAAGCCCACCCAATCAAACTCAAGTACCGTTGTTACACAACTTTTTTTACTGCAACTTGGTCCAAGTGTTATTCACGTCTCACAAAAATTGTGTGATTCATTAGGACTAAACATAATGATCAGAGGATAGCACGGTCTCAGGAAATGAGTGGAATCGACTTTTGTTCAGCAGTATAATGCACCGTGAACGTTTGATTGGAAGCTACCCTGACGCTGAGAAAGTGGCGCATTTTGAGTCAGTTGAACCACCACCAGGGTTTGTATCTGGATTCAAGTTCACTTGGGAAATTTTAGTTCCTATCCAAGTTTGTCCTAATCTACTTCACCACACACGAAAGCTCATGTTAATCACCGATGTTTGTAACGTAAGCGCCCCAAACTTATTCAGCTGATGGAGTCGCAAACTCCGGGTTGAAAAGTGCGCGCCAAACAACAATCCGGTAAGATTAATCACAATAAACACGTGCTAACAAGAGACATTTTATGACTATGCACTCTTCTCTTCTACCGTTCTCAAACTTTCCGAATACTAAGTAAGCCATTAATGAAGTTCGACGACTTATGTGATTCCCAGTATTGAACTCAAATGCCAGGCTTGGTCGTATGAATATCTTCTCCAGCTGGGGGTTCAAATTAATTCATTCATTCAATCCGGTGATTTAACTCGGGCCGATCAGCTGATTGCCATCAAATTTTCATTCTTCCCCTCTGATGTATCAGAGAGAAGAGCACATGACTTCACTCACCTAGGGTTAAAGAAACTTGTAGATGCAGCACATTGATTGTCGTGTATAAAAGTGTCCCGGTAATCATCTGTATATCCAAAGACTAAACGACCACACGACACACTTCGCGGGAACATGGCAAGAAATCTTGGAAATCCTGTGGATTTCAACCGCGAATGCTTGGAGGCGCACAATCGGTAAGTAGACAATTTGTGGGTAACAAAACATCATGCATTTCCATATATGATGAACTATGTAGGGGATAACTTTGCTCTAAAACAAGGGCTACTAAAGCTCTGAGGTTTCTTAAGGTTCTTCGTATTGGGTCGTGTTAGGATTACTGCAGTATGGATCCGGGCAAAAGTTAAGGTGTGTAATACCTAACATGGATGATATTCAAAGAGGTTGAAACCTGGATTTAAACTGTTCGACCAGTACTATTATCAACACAGATTTCATAATGATCACATAGTTTTTGATATTGACGGACAGGAATCATTTTATTTCTGTAAGTTGGATGATTAGCCTGTTTTTCACTCTGAGAAACACTTTGCCCATATTCAAATATCTTCTTCTAGTTCATGAATCTTGTAATTATTTTATGGTTGATAGATCAAAGAGAGTTTCCCCACAGTAATATCATAGAGTCCGGTGTCAGATTCAGAAATGCTTTTCTGTAGAAGTTATTGGGAAATGCGACGTTTAGGAAAAAAATGTGAAATGGAACATAAACCATGCTTCATCACGAACCACTTCGGAGGGTTGCTCAAACGGCTGAACATTTTTCCCCACAAATCTTGCAGTACTAGATGGAATCCACTCTGATGCCTCCCCGAGACGTCGCGAGAAACTGAACAGTCTCTCGATTTAAGACCAAGTCACACTACTCTAGTCAAAATAAGTAGTCTGTTAGCTTAATGCTCAATCACAAATCAACAAGAAATAAAATCACATTTCAAATGACCACAATGAACGCTCATAACTAATTAAATCGGATTCTAGTAAATTTATAGTTTCATCTGGATTTGTTAAATTTCGGATTCATCGGGCGAAGTGCGTATTGTGCACAATAAAATGAATTCAAGTCGATCAAAGCTTTGTGTAACCTGGTGAGGGTGTTTTCAGCGTAAATTGAAAGTTACCGGGATTCATTAAGCAATATTTTCAAAAAGGAAGAAATGTTAAAGCTCACATGAAAGACGTTTTGGGAAGTCAACCATATCGAGCCATTGGTTCACTAAGATGATCACCAGGTAAGGAGTAATACGGATGCAGCACATGTAATGTGATAATGTGAAAAGTTTTGAAATGGGAAACTATAGAGGAACTGGAGACAAACTTGAGAACAGCTTTGAAGAGTGATCGGTTTTGGATTCAACACTTTTACTCAACTCATCATATACATCGAAATGCTTGGTAACAATGAAATTAGCAGATTCAATAAGGGAAATACAAATTGACCCAGATAAGAATCCGAAGCCATTACCGTTTACGTGTGAGTAATTGATGGAGAGTGATGCAGATAGTAGTAGTATGTTGTTTTTGATAACAAATTTACGCATCAGGCTTGGAGAAGACAAAGCATGTAGACATACGCGAACAAGTTGCTAATTTTCCCAAACGAATTCTCATACAAAGAGACATGCAACTTGCATAGATCATGAAAGATTTTGAGATAAAATAATGCCTAAATATTCAACTTACTTGGTCTTAGGGATAGGTTCGCTGTAAGCCGATTGGTGTAAATAGTCACATTTGACGATAAATACACTTTAGAAAACTGATTTCCCGAGACCGGCAGGTAAACCACTTACAGAAATTATTCCAGATTTCTCGGAGATGATCGAATGAGGAATGATCGGTATGTGGACATCCATTACCAACATTATTCCAGTAATTGCAATAAGTGGATCCACCGAAAACAGAACGACCGTCCGTGTTCAGAGAGAAAAATTAAAGACGAATTGAACGGCTGCCTGAAGTGATGGGAGCGAAAAGTAGAACACCTAGTACTTAAGGAAGTCAATTGTGTTCCTTTTGTGAATTAATCAAAAATTCAACAAATTCAAAATAATATCCAAGAAAAATTCAAGAAATACGGTTTTGAAACACGTTCATGGAGCAGGTACAGTCGGATACCCTTAATCGCGGAGCAAACAGGGTCTCTACCATAGATGTTGAGGGTTCAATTCAAACGGGCCTAACAGAGTGCAAAACATGAGCAACAGCACCAATCATCGTTGAGGGAGATTTATACGATAACTGGAAAATCACTCAAACATATTATTGGACTTACTAGAAAGTTTCATTGTGACAGGCTTTCCCTGGACGAGCGCAGATTGAACATATCAATCACAGAATTATAATAGTAATCAGCACACCCTTCCTGAAACTCTGGTTACCTTAGATCACAACCCTTAACCTCGTTAACTTTGACACTATTCAGAGGTTTAGGGACCTCAGTGGAACTACTAGGGTGTACAATGACAGAAAATGCATCAAAAGGGAAAGCATATTTGCTTCGGAGGAAATAGAAAATGAACAGTTCAGATTTTTAACATCCGTCGTGTCCGTCTACCATAAAGATATTTCAAGGACAAACACATTTCCAGGCACCTCTTTTTGACAAAAATGGACATAACAGATAGCGTATCGAGTCAACAAATCTGAAAAGTGGAGATAGCGGCTTAATTAACCCTCATCTTCTGGTCATACAAGAAAGTTCTTTCTTTCAACGATGACTTTTCAAATTTGTAGAGAAAGAACCATCGACACGGAAGTAGGCCATTTCAAATTGAAGGTAATCCAAAAGATGCCCCCTGTACGAGGATTTGTTGAAAAACTTGTCTGTTTACATGCTGACAAGATAACGGTGATTAACCGAGATGGGGACTGCATGTATTTTGATGGTCCACTTTTACTGTGGGCCTTTTGTTGAGCTAAAATGATAGAGTGATCTGAAGTGTCACGGCGGGTCATTTTATGGGTGGCCAAAATGTCAGGGTTGCGTACAACAGAAATATCAAGCAGGGTATCATTTTGATTGGTGAAAGCTATGAGATACATCACACTCAAGGAGGCTAGAAGAAAGTTTAGAAATGGCAAAAATCTCCCGCAGAAATGAAAAAGAGTTGTCAAAACCGATGACTACATGGAGTGTAGTGGGTCAATAATTTTCGCAAGGTCAGAATCGCGAAAGTTACCTGAGACAAAACATGCACTGGAATTACATAAGGAAAAATAGCAATTAAATGGGTCTCACAATGAGTTAGAAAAGATATTTTACTGATTAACTGTGATGTGATCTTGAGATTTATCTGAAATCCGAAATCAGGTAGTTCTATCGAATCATATTCATTGATAAAGCGTAATTTAAGAGATGGAGGTAAGTGATTTTTAAACTAATTTTGGCTACGCTCCATTTCAGCACTTTTGGATTTATTTGGTTTTTCATGATTGCTACATGATACATTCCTTGATAGACATTTGCGGTCACAGTTAATTGGTTTCAAGCATGCTATACTCATTTCTGTATTCTTGTGTCCTCTTTCACTCCTTTATGACTTATTTTGGAAGGAAGAACACAGGTGCCGTGGCTGGATAACTTAATTGAGCCCCTCCTATCCAAAATTGAATTGTCCTATTCGGTGAGCAAGGACAGTAGGTCAATTTCCCAAAACGTTAACAGGTTCGATGTGCACTTCCGATTCAAGCCTTTATTCTGGGGTAGCTTTAAATAAAATTCTAGGGTCTACCGAAATGTTAGGGACTCATAAGTTCTTTAGTACAGAAATTACTGGAAGAATAAAACAAGCGGAGTGATCACCGGCATCAGCTTTTCTTGTATCGAAAAATCTGAGGATTGTTTTGATTAATCCTCCAAAGGCATAGACTATCTAACTTTGCAGTGTTTCCTTAGATTTTTGCGACTTATGAGTACCGTAATATCGAATTTATACATAGCTTCCTTTTGTAATCAGTTTCACATTCTATCCATAATTGCTTTACTTATTCCGTCATCCGTTATCCAGTTGGTCGCCAGCCTCCACATTGGTCTTCGTGAATTTCATCATGCAACGACTTATCCCATATCTTATTTTGCCTTACATAATGTTTGCGTATACCTCACAAGGGATGATCCATCTTAAGACAACGTAATTACTAATCACCCGGAATATTTTGTTTTGAAATTCATAGAACCTTGTTTCATTAGTGACCACTTTTTGTTCCTCAATAAACCATCCGTATACTTGAAAAATCCATCGAGGTAACTACTCGCTTTCACAGTCTTCCATGAGAAACGCTTTTCTGTTGAGGCGTTCAATCACTTTTGTTTATTCGTGTTTTTTCTCCCATCCTTCCTTACGTAATGAAAGCAGGTTATTCACAAAAGCACTCACTCACATCTTTCACCTATGCTGCCCTTCCGGAACTTTATTTTCCTGTAACGGCAGAATAACATCTCCAAATCTTGCAGAAGACAAAGTAGACCATCGTACAAGTCCAAAGACTTAACATTTGTCAAATAGTAATCTAAGCTGATACAAGCCAAAATTGATCCGCTATCTGAGTTGTACACAATAGTGCTTCTGCTGCTTCTGGTATAAATTAGCTCTAAAGCGGAATCTCGAGTGAGTTGGTTTTGCTTTTATTGATACTAATGTTTACTAGATTGATTAAATTTGTAATTGCCCGCCAAACTTCGAAGACTGTCCAAATCTATCCGTCAACGTTGTTATTTTTTAAATTTCTTTATCATTTCTCTACAAATTCGTATTTCACCTTATCTTCTCAGATATACCTTTTTGTTCACCTGTTCATTTTCCTAACATCGTAAAGAAAAAATTTTAAACTGCATCAATATGAGCTAAACACCATTTGCTCTGTCTCCTCAATCCCACTGGAAGAATGGATAACCTATCTGTGTGAAGGTGATTTGAATGCATGAGAAAAGCTTGCACTAAAGATTCTCATGGATTCTTCTCATTTACTGCACGCACACGTCTGACTTCGTATCGTTTTCTTTCATCTACTAGATCAAAATAACATTGTGATACATCACTCAAAAACATATCGTAACTCCACGGTACTCGTTGGCAGGTATTTTGAGTAATGAAGACCACGTTTCCGTAGACCTAGCCAATAGTTTAATCACTCGAATTTAGTTTTATACTGGCTGGAATATGATCATTTAATAAACAGAAGTCAGTATTACAATGCAACAATAAACCAGTGCTCGTAAAACGTTAGTAGGCATAGAGAAGATGTCATAATTTTTATGTTCTATTTTCTCGCACAAAATTCTAGACAGATACAGTTTATTTGTCCTATACAAGCAATCCAGTTTGGAAAGTTACCAAGCGTTTCTTAACCCTGAGATAACAGGCTGAAATGAGCAAACTGTGACCCCCGCAACATTCCTGCAAAAGTGAGTTGTACAAATGATATACAATGATACTGAAACTGTTCGATCGTTTTTCAGTTAATGAAGAAGCTAGAATGCTTGCGTTTTACTAGTTGGGTCCCGAGTGTGATACACAGTGAGTTCGATAGATTCACGCTGCTGGTGTGACCCAACAGAGTGAAAACCCGTAGCTTTTAACTCTACATTTCCCTTGCTCTACGAATAACAAGCGCCACATATTACTCATTCGTTTTCTACCATGTTGCTTCCTTATTGTTGTCTATTGTCCCTCTAAGTTTTTAATGAAAACCTCAATTACTCGTACGATCGTTATTTCAATTTGGCATGACAAATCTGTCCTTCTCATGTTACAGGCTCCGCGCACTACACAACAGCCCAGCATTGACCTTGGACCCTCAACTTTCAGCGGAATCGCAGAACTGGGCTGAACACTTGGCCTCCATCGAGCAAATTATTCATAGTGATTCCACAAAATATGGTGAAAATTTANTTTCCACTGATATGACGGGTGAGTGACAATAGTGGGAAGTAACTAGAGTATCTCTCTTGGACTTAAGTTACCCAATTGTTGTGACAGTAGCTTTTTTGAAATTCCTTCAAAAACATTGTACTTTCGTCCCTTCCTCACACCGTTCATGACCAGCGAAAATGTGAAGTTCAAACCACATGACGCAATTCTGTTTAGTAAACATGTTGCGCAGATCGTAGTGCAGTGTTTAGTGCTCTCTTTGAAATCATATGCCGCCAAAACCATTTGTAGAATGCTGTTTAGCGGTGGCATCTTAAGTCGTTAAGGTTTAGCTCTAGCCGTAAATGTCATTACCTTATAGCTCCGACGGATGTGTGCTAGAATCTCACCACCAACGACAGCAATTCCCCATTTTCCCTGTGGTGTATGACGGTCCATTGAGTGGCCAGATCTACTG